GCTCAACATCTGGTTTAACAATTGTCTCCGATGAAAATCACTAAACAAGTAGGTAATAATATTTTACCGAATCGTGCAATACAATGCAAATGGACATCATCTGGGCAGCATCTGGACTACAGACGGAGAGTAAGACATCGAGAGAATCCAGGTGATTCTATCGATACGATTTAATTTATTTCAATCTGTTCTTGATACGAATTTGCGTCCACAATCAATCAGGCGATTTAAAATAGGTCCAACAGTTTTTCAAAACTTTATTGTAGTGGATCTGAGGCACAATTTTGTTTGCACAACATCGATTGTTAGTTCTTAAAACAATATTTAACAGTGCACGGCAATGTGCAATCTCATTTGCAATGATAAATACCCCGTCGTTTGAAGATGATTTTCAAAAGTTTGTAATACATTTTTCTGCAAATTGAAGGACGATCCGCATTTTTATGCACTTAAACTGCTTTAGTGTGTATAATTGTGTGTGTACTTTAATTGGAAATTTAAAAGAAGGCGAAACTCGAACAGGCATTTAGTACATGAGCACCCTTTCTCTAGTATTTGCAGTATCTGCAGCTTCTCCCTTGATAATTTGTTGATTCATTGTTATCAGCGTTATAAAATAAACTGCACCGAACACAATAATATCACACTCAATAATTGATAAATCAAAATCATTGTCAGTTTAGTAACGCAATGTGTATTTGAAAAGTTTATCAGATCTGCAGATACACCCGCACTAAGAGAAAAATGTCGAATTCAAAGTGCATATGTGCGTCCCAAGACTCAGGCGCGAAGAGGCCGGAGTGGGAGCCGCCGTTATGACTCGCCGTGACCGAGAAAAATCGGTTCACCCTCCCATAAAAAGTTATCACTTCAAAAAATCATCCAATTGGCAAAATTAACAGGTAATATAATCCATGCTAACGCCCTCATAATGGGAAATAAACTAGCCTGGGGATATGCAAGGATGTCGTCACGCGTAAGCGCTTGGACCTTGTCTTAAGACGGCGTTGTATATAATAAATTACTAAATAATATGTTATTTGGCCTCCACATTATCTTCCATCTTTAAGCAAAAGTAATAATTACTTATTACCAGTATAACTGGTTAATTTTAGTTAATAAAAAGTTACGAAAAAAAATTATACTTACCCAAAAACGATTTATGCTGTAAAATCTATGGAAAACTGCACTTCCTACAAAAAAAGCTGACATAAAGTTGCTAACAATGACAGAGTAACCACATATGAAATTTAACAATAAAGGTAATAACCCATGCGGCGTATATTTTCTTAGTGTTAATTCCAGTCCGTCCGTGTAGAATTAAGGCTTTTTCGTTGCTTGAAATATTTTCTGATGAAAACTAACATGTTAGTTTTAGTATCATGGGCCTAACGGATATGCAAGCAGAGACAACGGGGAGTCTCTTCCTTGTCTATTGTTATTCTGTTTTGCTATTTATTGCTTGTTGATGGGGTCTGCAGCTAAACACTTGTACTTTTATGTCTATCAGCGAAGCAAATTGAAAAAGAACTTTATTAAACATCTTCATATACATTGTTTCTGTGTACAAAACAGCGTAAGATAAAATAATATAAGTATAAAATATTAATCGGTGCTTTTCATATTTATTTATTAAACAGCTAACAGTTTGCCATCATAAAACGATGAAACTGAAACGGCTTATTACATTTTCTACATAACAGTACGTATTTTTTTTAACTAAAATCTGAAATTATACCGTGTCATATACAGGGTGATTTACGGTAGATGGCGTCTTAGACGTTTAGAGTTTAGTCATAAGTTTAAGTCATCGAACAGGTATTAGTAGGGGAGGCAGCGACATATTTAAAGACACCATTTCCGCTCATTTAATTTTTTGAGCATAGATTATTAAAATCATATCTAACAATAAAATCATCGTCAGGGTTGCGATTCACGCCAAAAATGAATAAAAAAACTCATAGCCTCTTGCATGAAACTTACTCTACTCGTCGATTTGAACATAAAATCTGTAAAAAATATCGTCTTCCATCTGTATTCCACAACAAACTCCGTCTTCCACCCCGATCAATACGCGCAAAGAAGAAGAAAAAAAATTCTTAGCCTCTCAAGTGAAACTAAGTGTGATGGTTGCTTTTTATAATTTGAAGGATAAAAATAATAGTCTTCCACTTATATCATCACACTCCATATCATATGCATAACTCTCTATAAATAAAGCACTAATATGACAGAAAGGGTCGTGGTAGTCGGTTTACCAAGGGTTACATTTGATTGTTCGTTTGTATGAGTACGAAAGTACTACACTTGGAGCTAGTTTCAGATCTCACCGCGGAATGTTTTCTGGCTGCTCTTAATAGATTTACTCATCGGCGTGGCATGCCAAAGAATGTTTATTTGGATAATGGTCTTAATTATGTAGGAGCCAACAATGAGACAAACAAAATATATGAATTTCTTAAAGAGTACTCTGATCATATTGGTACCAAATTGGCTGATCAAAAATTAAAATGGCACTTTATTCCGGCTAACTCACTCACCTTTGGAGGTCTTTGGGAAGCTGGAATAAAGAGCGCAAAATCTCACTTTAAGCGAGTGATTGGTAAGAATTCTTTGACGTTTGAGGAATTTGCACCCTGCTGGTTGAAATAGAAGGTATTTTAAATTCTCGGCTCCTATGCCCATTAACAGAAGACCCAGAAGACTGTTCGTCGTTGACTCCAGCCCATTTTTTAATTGGTCGAACCTTGACGGCGGTACCTGAATACAATCTGACTCATGTGGCTGAGAATAGATTGTCCAAGTGGCAGCACATCCAAGCAATGTTGCAACACTATTGGAAGAGATGGTCAAAGGAATACCTGTCCGAACTGCAAACAGGAACGAAATGGCGGACGAATTATATGAACATTGTAAAAATTGGTTCCTTGGCTCTAGTAAAGGACGATAAGGCTCCTGTTTTGCAATGGCAATTGGGGCGTGTAACAGGACTTCATCGTGGTAGTGACAATGTCGTTGAAGTGCTCACTGTAAGGATACGTTCTAACGAAATAAAGAGGGCGGTTAACCGAATGTTTCCTTGTGAATGTGTGCTTCATATAGAGACAGAACTTTGACTGAACTGGTTGTAATTAATACATTTTAAGATTTTCTCAGCTTGGTTAGAAGCAGCTGTTAGCTCACAACATATTAGTTTAGTTATAAGTAAGATTTATTATGTATTCAATTGTTTTAAATTCATGTTAGCTATTAGGGTTATACATATAGATATTTTAAAGAATTTAATTTTGTAAAAGCGAGCTGTGCCCTTTCAAGGCGGGCGGTATGTTGCGGCGCACCTTTAATTAAAAAAAGAGAACGTTGACAAGAGCCGTCAACGAACAAGATTGTACATGTATATTAAAAAATAATATAATAAAATATACCTAATATACAGTCCAAAACACCCTGTATATTAATTAAAATACGGGAACACCATTAAATTCCCTATAAAACAATATATCATGTTTCTATACCTAAAGCAAAAAATTTTGGAAATAATTGGAAATTTTTGCAAAAAATTTGATTATTACTAGGTATTTGTCAAAATAGCCATGAAATGTTATAATAGTTGAAGATTTTGCGATTATTTCGAATCTTTCTTCGAGAGACAGCTTCGGACAGACGGAATTCGGACGAAGCAACGCGATGTGCGAACTATCCGCAACAAATGAGATTTGTTCGCAAGTTCGAAGTGTTTCTGACCGAATAGCGGAGATTCGTTGTTTCACACCTAGTAGAAATGAATGCTGTAAAACTAATAAATCTTTGTAAATTACAGAAAACCTTTGTGGGATTGTTTGATTTTTGCATATTATTAATTTGACGCAAAAAAATTATTCTTTATAAAAAGTTCTGCTTGGTCCAAAACCTAAAATGTAACCATAGGAATAATTTTTTCTCAGTCACATCGAGGTATATCAGAAAATATGAATTTTGTTCAAGAATAAAGTATATTTACTTTTTACTTACTAGTGACATACGTGATAACTTTCCCGTTCCGTACAGAAACTAATAAGTAAATTCTCACAGCAAACAAAATTTCGAATTAACTACTCTTACATTTTCGTTGCAACTGTAGACAAAAATAGAGGAAAAAATAAGTAGCAGTTAATTAATTAATTTTAAAAATTTCACTGTACAAACGCAAGATCTTACATCTGCTGTATTTGACCTGCATTTTTTGTACCTGGAACTTTTGTCTCTATCCCGTGTCTTAATTCACATTTGTGGCTTTCTTTCCATTAACCCTGAGGCGAAAAATTTCTAACATATGTAGGAAATTCCAAGTTTATTTTTAGATTGGCGTTCTGATCAAAATTAGTTATAAACATAAAAAAAACTTAATAATTCTTAAACTTAATAGTAATTTACAAATTATTATACGATAAAATAAAATTTCTTGATTTTTCTCTGGAAAAGTAACTTATCAAATCGTCAAAATCAATCGATCGAAGTAAATTAATCTTGACCTTAAGCTTAACAAATGGAGCGCTGGTTGAAAATAGTACGTAGTTTTATACGATAGTTTAGTTTTAATTTTTTTAAAGACGATGGCGTTTCGAGTGTGAGGAGTTCCAAAAACGGATTTCATGTGTTTATTTATAATCTGTGCAAAAAGTGGAAGGTTCTTGATTAATTCGAATAAGAAAGAATTATTAGGTTTGTTTATGTGTATATTTCATTTAATTAACAAATTTTTATCAAAACGCCATTGTAAAAATATGCTAGGTATGTTCATATGTTCGCAATTTTTTTCAAATGACATCTGCAGCCGTTAACATTTTAATTTTCAGCCTGAATAGACAAATGCCATAAATTTGAATTAGGAAAATAATTGCAATGCTAGTGCACTCATTGTACCACCCGCCTACCAAAAGCGGCCGCAAACAAAGGTGTCCAGTCTCTCCTAACAAATCAAAAAAAAAAATAATGCCGGGAGCTAGTCCCGATGCCGATGCGAACCCTATGTTTTGTTTGTTCTGCGCTTGTCAGAACCACCGTCCTTGCTTTAATTCTCGAACTGCTAGAACCGGTAACGAACGCGTTTTGAAACAGTTCTTACTGGACCGCGAACTTAGAACTTTCAGTTTAGAACCAGGAATTTTTTTTACCGTGAGTACCCGATGCCTCAACGCATATGCGATCTGTCCCCAAATACCTCTACGCGCATGCGACCAGTTCTGAATTGTTACCGCGAATAAAGCTATTGTACGACGGCCTAAAAACCCAAAAAAACTCACAAGTTTTAGCACAACACGAATTACAATGAGGCACAAGATCTGCTGAGAAAAATCGAAGAAATCCATCTAGCTGTCCTCATAGCCATATGGTGATGACATCATCACCGAAATCCCGATAAGGGACAACTATAAATTCACCAGACACTGGGCTGCACACGGAGTTCTTGCCTTTCAACCGAGAGGTAATCATTCTGATCAAAAGTCCAAATATTCAAAATGTTGCGTTGGCAACTACACATTTAACCCCCAAAATTAGTGGAATCAAGTTAAACTTCCGAGACAGCTCGTAAGCGAAGCTTAACTGACGGTGCACATCAAATAGGCTTGATAAGCCAAGCTTAGCCCTAAACGTTGATTAATTGAGTACCAACACAACAACTACAATTAAAGAACTAAAATTTATTTGAGCTCGCGCACAATTGTCTAAACTACCGCGGTTGGCAAAGAGTCTTGCCTCTGCTCGCCCACAATAGTTCCGCGGTGGGCTGAAACACCCCTGGGCGGGGGGTTTTTTTTGGACCTCGGAGCAGGTATTCTCGAAAAAAAAAAACGTTTTTCGTTTCCTGCACTTGGCGTCACAAAAAAAATGGGTATATTTCATACCGGTCACTTCCGGACGCCGCCAGTGCGCGCTTTCTTCGGGAGCACCGATAAAAACGAGTTATATCAATCCGATCCAACACATCTATCCGATCCGACTCCGATCAGAGAACCTTCCGTCGAAAGGGGAAGCCACACATGTCATACACGTTTCAGTTTCCGTTCCGATTTTTGGACGAGTGCAAATCACAGATTATCAAACTATTCCTAAGACTAAGTCCAAATGTATTAATTGGCTTTACCGTTTATCATATAGACACTCGGATGGTTTACTTTGAATATCGAAAACTGAAAACCGAACTAGATATAAGAATTTTGTTTTGTTTTTAGGCACTTTTAGGAAACTATAGCTTGCCGAATTAACCCAAACTAGCATGATATTTAAAAATGCTTTAACGTGACAAAAAGACTAGTAGCAAATTAATTGTGCGATTATAAAAAGATAATAATCAGATTAATAGGAATTTGTTTTCTACTCGTATTTCCGGTCCATATGTTAGTTATTAACAATTTATTGCCAAAAATTCAATGCGATGCATTTTGTCTTTTTGTTTATAATATTATGAAATAATGGAGTAATCGGAATGCTCAACGAGATGATTTGTAATCTTAAAATCTGAAGTAGTAAATAAATTTCCATGAACAGTTTACAATGTACACTTTAGTAGTTATTTGTCCAATATTCCTTGCCAGAGTCCTTACATACAGTTGCTGTGTAAGCAGTAATATAAATTAATACTTGTGACGAATCATGTGCATTATTCATAATTGAGTTTGTTTTCTATCAGTAAAATTCAGTAAGCCCAATCAAAATATTTAAATATTTACAGCTTACTCTAGATATTGTCCATTAAAAACCAAATGTATCACTGACGCAACCTAAAATGCGGACCGTTTTTCCTTCCGACAATCGGATAGCAAATACCCATCGAATAGCCAGCAAAATCGGAAAATGATCGGATACAAAAACGGAGATGGATCGGGCAGGTAGCGGAAAGATGTGAACTACGGCGTTGAGTCCAGTACCATTTTGCTCTCAGATCTTCGTCCGATTGTATGATCGGAGTCGGATCGGATAGATGTGACCCGGCCTTTACCATGTTCGGGACTGCCCGCACGATACTTTTTTCCCGACTGCCCCCGCACCTGTCGCCGTATCCGGTCGCACTTTTCGCCCCCGCGCACTCTTAGTATAAGGATGAAAGCGAGGGATGTTCCTGGCGACCAAAAAAAAACAAAAAATTATGGAAGTGCAGAAAAATAAAAAATTATCACCTGATTCACCACGCCTATCAACACAGTCAAGTTCTTCTTAACAATTAGCGTCACTTTTTCGGTAAAACTGTAAAATATTTCTATAAAGAAAACATTGATTAATTAAAAACTTTTATTGTTTTAAAATTTATTTTATTTAATAAGTTTATGAAAAAATCTTAGATTACATTAATCTATAATGCAAATATTTAGACACGTGTCTTCATTCAATGAGGTTACCTATATTCATAAGTATTCAGCTTTGTATCAGTTGAAATGTGGATAAATTAGTGGCACATCCTGGACATGTATGCAGCGTATCATGTATGAAAATATCGCAATCAATACAAAACATTCTCTTACATGTCGGGCACTGGTAAACCTGAAAGATTTCAGAAACAGATTATATGCGTTACTGAATTATTCACATGTTAGCTATGAATTAGAGAGTTCTTAACCATTGTAAAGTTGAAAAAATGTTTGTTTAATAAGGTCCTCCTCGACTACGCGTTTTTGTTTTGCTACTATATTTTCCAAACAAAAAATGTGTACTTGGTTCAAGTCGATATATCTGGCCGTTACAGTATTTATTACGGCACGTTAAGATATACGTTAAACTAGATTTGAACTCAGTAAATTATTTGAAAATTATTATTTCATAATAATTGTATATAATTATCTCCTGTGACTTCAATACATTCCAATTATAAAAGATAAATATTTGATGATAAGACTTCTGAGCATTCAAAATTGTCTACGACAATTCTTCCCTGTTGTGGGAACCTGAATGGGACCTTTATAAACTAAACTATACATCATATAACCCCAAAAACAGTAGTAGATTGGGTTAAAATTAGTAGTATTAAATATTATAAATTAAAATAATTAAAAGTAGTAGATTGGGCCTCTGGCAGACTACTGTACTGCATTTGGTATTCGGAAATTCTTCATCAAGATAGTTCCAAACTTGAACAGCGGCAATGGAGAAATGAGCGGCAGCTCCATCTTACAAGAAACAAAAATTTTGTAGAACCCGTGAATCTAGGTAATTCTCCAACTCGTTTTGGAAAAAATCTAAGTTCAACTGACTAGTCAAATTTTCATTTTAAATTCATGTGGACCTATGAGATAAATGCCTACGATTTTGCACCAAACATTAATTTTGATTACATGCTGGAAATGGCTATGTGAAACGGTATGTGAATTTTCAGTTCCCCCATGGCGTTTATTTTTAAAGTTGAATGCCCCTCCACGGCTAAAACTCGCCTCGTCAGTAAACAGCATTTTTTTTAATCCAGGTGTTTCTGTAGTAGGATTGTGGCGGGACCCGGTGGGTCCGGCGAGTAGGCCTTAAAGGCTGTGAAAGTGCCCAGTGATTTTTTATCGACACATATTTTTCCGATCAGGTACGCCCACCATTTAGTGCAAAGACATTTCGATCCGATATTCGAAATATGCGATCGTATCCTGCTAGTCGTCATGATCGAGCAATGATGTTTTTCCATAAAGATTTACAAACCAGCACCTATATCTTTCTTCAAGTGGGCAAGATTAAAAGAGCACTGGAACCACCCTACACAAATCAATGGAAGAAATTTGATCATATCCACGGATAGATTAAAGCCTACCTATTAGTGGTAGCAAAATTACCGAAATATTATTAAAATTAATATTCGAGTACTCGTTCTCATCAGTATTCGAAGTAACGCATACCGAACCAGGCTACCAAACGAGTATTCAAGTAATCAGTAATCGTTCTCGGAAAATAAATTTCCCCCTCCTAACCTTCGACTCATTTTGCCCATTTAACGGATTCTCTATATTTAAAAATGTAAAAGTTACAAATACAAAGATTCAGAAAATGGCCACCCTGTATAGGCACCGTCTAGGAAACATCTCATCAGAAGATTGCGACGACAGAAGAGGATGTAGATTAGGTGTCGGACAACGAAGTAAGACGTTCTAAACCAAAATTGGCGTCATTCCTTTTAAGGGGTGATAGAGGCTCCCTTGAAAAGTACAAGAAAAAAATTGAAATTTTTTTTTTTCGAAAATTTCTAGAAGATATTAACAGTTGAAGATCGAATTTGAACTTTGCTATTAAGCATTTTTTTGAAATTGTTCCATGTTTAATTGGTAGCATCTTGGAATACTTAAGCATTCAAAAAGAAAAATTACGATTTTTGCCTCAGATTACGATGACAGGCAATGATGTTTTTTGTCATTAACAGATAGTTACAGGTGGATAGCCCTTGCCAATAACAACAATAATTTGTCAAACTGTGACTTACTTTGAATTTCCTTTCACAAATTTGCGGATATGCGAAGCTGAAAGAACTCACGCCAACAAAGGGCGAGGAGAGTGGTTTCAGGAAAATAGTGGACGATAGATGTTCGGGTTCCAGGCACAGAGTAACACGTATTGGACATAACCGAATCAGGGCCTTCCAGGGGCACTCAGAGCACAATAACTGACACTTTTCCAAGCACCAAATAAATACCGAGGAAGGGCTACATTCCTACCACGTTTGTACGACACACAGCACAAGGAGATACAAATGGAGCAGGAGTTAATTAACTGAATACGAAAAGCTGCTTGATAAGAGTGGATAATAAGGAGATTACACAGGCACTAGCTTGTTTGGTGTTGTATGGTTTATTTTTAAACACCAATATTCCAGGTCATGAGAACAGGTTGACATTTCGTCAACAAATCCTGTTGAATTTACCGTTTATCCTTGTCTAATAATAATTCCATGGTTACCGGAGTTTTAAATAATTACGAAGCTACAGGTATTTGCGCAATGTTAATTAAGCAGATTACCTTGAAAAACATTGCTGCCGTATTTCTGATATAGTTTTTTGCAAATTTCTCAGTTTTTAATAACAATTAATTTCTTTTACTATTTTTTCTGCACTCCTATAACAGCGCCAGACAACACCTCCGGAGGAATGACGCCAATTTTGAATCACCCTGTATAATTAATATTAACATTTTAAGTACGCATTAAGAATATTTTAAGCTATTAAATATAAATCGAGATCTCAAAATGGTGTATACTGTACATCATGATATTTTAGATACAGAATTGGATTTAGCGCCGTTGGTTCGCTGCCGACTCGCTCTTCGCTATTCCGGCATATGTTTCCCGGCGTTCATTAAATTACTTAATCTTGTATCGAATGTATTCTTTTGCAAAATTAAACTTAACAATATTTTAAATTTAGGATCAAATCTATCAAATATTGTTAACTATTTGACAGATAAAATATTTTATAGATATATAAAAAACAAACCAACAAACACCTGAAGTAGGCCTAGATAATACTGTGTATTAAGAGACTTGTGTGTTGATGTCCTATGTGTCCATGTGCCGCGACACCTGGAGCCCAATTCTCGAAACTGGGAACGGCGATCGCATGAGAAAGAAGGGCGTGGTTCTCTCGTGAAGCGAATATTGGTATTCTTGAACGCGATCGATTGATCCCATCACGCAACGGCAGTAGAACAAGCTTCTCTTGCCAAATCTCGCGAGAACGGATCATTCACCGGTTTTATAACCACACACTACAAAGATTTTGGCGTAGGTACCCGGTTTGAAAAGTGGTGTGATTTCGGTTCGAACTCGAAATAATGAATTTCATAAATAAAACTTTACAGTGTTTATAAAATAAAGAGCAATTTAAGAGATTTTCTAACAGAGAGTAGAGCGAGCTTGTATGGAATTGTTCTCAACAATCTTCAAGGTAAGTTTTTGTGTTTCGAATCGTGTCTTGTAGTAGAAACTATT